TCCTTGTGAGCTTTGAGATCTCCAGCACCTTTATTAGACACAGAAGCATGTGTGCCAGCTTTGCACATGGTGCACTCAGCCTCCCACTTGTCACAACCAGGATGGTATGTGCAGTTCATCTATGAAGCTGCACTTTTATTTCAGCATTTGGTTGCTCTACTCCCTGTGTGTGTGTGTGTGTGTAGTCTGTGTGTGTGGCTGTCTCGCTAGACCCTCCTTCAAGGCAGTCCCTTAAGAATAACGTCAGGCAACAAAGTACCGTAGTATTCTGTGCAAAGCGGCAGTTGATTTAAGCATGTGATTATGGTCCCATGAAAAACTGTGAAAACTGGACACTTTCACGAATTTATAATACACCTGTGGATGCCCCAGGAAGAATGTAAAAAGTGAACAGGCAACAGAGGACGTTTGGTTGCCCTATAGACTTAGACTCAAATTTATCTATCCCTTGGGATTACATCTTCAAGAAACTCTGGTTCCAGTTGCTTATATAGGGTACAAAGAGTTAAAGCAAGATGCCATTAAATTTAAAATACGACAGAAGTATAAAATGAGTGTGTATATGATACAAAAAAACAAAAGTCGTAATATCCTGGAATATTTTTCCCTTAAATATAAAAATATCTGCACAGTAGAGAGCTAAGGGAACGCAGTAGTTAAATTGTTAGAACTGTAAATTTACAGTAATTTTTACTATTTTTCAAGGCTGCACTTTTAAAAGATGAAATTGTCCGGTGAGCTGTTTCCAAAGAAATATCTTTTTGTTTTACACTTGTGTAAACAAAATGAAAAATAAAATCTGTCTAAAGTCTAAAGTCTAGTTGACTTGGATTATTGCACGTGTACTGCATAGATGTACTGACCTTCTAAATAAGTAAAAAGATTACACAGGCTACACAGTAGTTGGCATGTGTTATTGCACAGTGAGAGAGAAGAATATTGCATGAGTGACAATAGGTAATGTTTTGCATAAGATGTCAAACGAGGGGGGTGTCGACCATTGTCCCTCTTCCATTCACCTCCTCCTTCCCCCAAGTGAGGAGTTGTACAGCTTGATGGCTTGGGGAACAAAGGAGTTCAGCAGTCTGTTGGTCCTGCTTTTGGGGAAGAGCAACCTCCCACTCCTTCGTCTTGGAGCTGTTGTGCTCCGAGTGGTTGGTGTGGCACCAGGTGGAAAAGTCCCCCACCAGACTCCTGTACTACTCCTCTCTGTTGTCTCTGATAAAATGGCTGTTCATCTGCTTACTTCTGTATGTGACACAGCTCAGAGTTGTAACATAAGTCCTGATGTATAAGGTAAAGAGGACAGGGGCCCTGGGAGGCTTCAGTGCTGCTGACCACAGTTTCAGAGATGGTGTCTTTCAGCCTGACATACTGTGGCCTGTCTGTGAGGTAGCTGGAGATCCATGCCACCAGGCAGGGGTTGACTCCCATTGCTATGCAGCACATAGTGGATGGGGCAATTAATTAATTCTTATGTTAAATTGGGACAAAAGGCCAATATATACTCAAAGGTTTGGTTGCTGTACCAGGCTCTGTGCAAAGGGCGTGAGCCATCCAGGAATCTGTCCCCATTCATAGTTGATGCAGACGTAGGTGCAGTATTCGCAAAAAATACACTGAGGCAGTACTCAACATAAGCAGAAATGTAGGCTGAGGCTCAGCATATGGTAAAACTAAATGAGAAAGAGTTACTGGTTTTATGGCTACTACAAACAGAAATAAACACTGTACAAGAAGATGGTACTGTATGTTCGGTCTTGCGTGAATTTGATGTGGAGCAACAGTTCAGCTCTTCAAATGTGTCAATATTGATGTCATGAACTCCTGCATCGTCTGAAACATTTCATACCACTCAGAAGGACCAATATTAGCCCTGTTACTTTGGCTGAAAGACCTGCTAACGTTTTTATTCAGTCTCGTCCTGTCAACGAAAACTCACACCCATGACTCGTCATGTTTTCATCATCAAAGACCATGTTTAACTCGTCAGTTCTTGTTATTGTCCTGAAAAACAGAGCATCATCAAAATAATTTCATCATCGTTGACGAAAACGACACTGGTCTGAAGTTTGCCAGGCTGTTTGTGTCGTTTGTGTCGCGCCCAATGGCAGTGAGTGAAAAACTATTGCACAGAAATTCTTTAGAGTGCTGAACTTTCTCAACTACATAGGATGCATCAATGGGAAACGTGCAGATTAAAGT